CAAACTCAAGCGACATCTTTCACTGGGAACTGTATCATTTACACAGGAATGTTTGCCAAGCTCCAACATCTCTAACAAATTCTTCTGAAGAATTAGTGGAACTAATGACAGCACACAAGTCAAAAGATAAAGAGTAGAAAAAAACTAGTCTACCTGGTTTAGATATCCAAGCTTAGATATTAAGTAAGTGGTCAAAATCTATTTCTGTGAATCTTTAAGTTACAAATGTAAAAGCTATTCAGCCTAGGAAGCAGCATGATATATTACTATCAGTCAGGTAACTTCAAGTTGCAATATCCAACTGCAGGAATTTAGAACAATGTACTGTAAGGCCAGAGAAACTAGGAAATGTAAATTCTCCCTGCTCTGTCCTTATTTTGTTTTCAGGTCAGACTAATTAATGCATTTTCTATGATTAGAAAATAAGCTGTGATGTTACTGATACACAAAAAAGTACTTCTAAGTAGCCACAGTACTTTTAAGTCAGTTCACATTTTAACATTAAAAGGAGTTAAGAACATATAATCATTAAAGTATATAATTGGTCCAGTCTTATTAAATCACTACTTTAAAATTCTACGTGTTTCTACCTTCTGCAGAAGACATTAAGGCAAAAACAAGCTACCCTGTAAAGTTATCTAGGTACATTACAGATAAGATTGTTTCAAATATAGAAAAAAATGCTTAACCTAAACGAAGCACCATCATTAGTTTACTGGACTTTAAGAAACAGTGTATCAGAAGTCCACTGTCACCAGCCAGAGATGACTTTGTATTGGCCACTACTGCCAATATAAATATATATGAATGCTTAATGTAGTTATAATTTTCAACAGATAATGCATTAGGGTAATGCTGTTCACCATGATTATGGTTATCAGCATCCACAACATTTCTTCTCTGAACCTAAAGAGAAAACAGAACAGAGTTTTTAACCAAGCACCAGTTTGTTGCTCAGAGTTGGAAAACTTGTTCTAGTAGCTTCATATGAAATACAAATATTTAATTTTCCAAATTCCTATGAGAATATTATATACACAATGCTTCCAACATTTTAGATTCGAGGTAATAAATGAGATAATATAAATGGGCAGAATATTCCAGTTCAAACAAAGAAGCATGAATGAAACTCAAAACTCGACAAGTCTGAAGGATTCTCTAATAATAATTTGTCACTTTCTATTAAAATATATATACACATACCATATAAATATATACACCCCTTGTAATACGTATGGTATACTGCCACATATATTCTACCTCTGTTCTCACAGAAGATTCAAAATTAATATATTTGGAGAGATGGTATTCATAATAATCATAATGATGTTAATTTCTTGGAGGAGTATCCTCTAGAGACGACAGCAACTAAACATTGGGAAAATGTGCTCTACATCAGCGTACCATGTTCTTACTACCAAAAAGGCTGGCAAATGTTACTGAAGTATAGTCCCAGCCCTTTATTTAATTCAGAAGGTTTACTTAGGAAGATATTTGCATTTTCATTAATTGTGTGCATCTGTATGATAAAGAGTCTCCATTAGGAACTTTAGCAAGAAAGAGCCACAGTTCAAGTCACGCATTTTAAAGGTATGTTTTCACAGCATCTGGACATGAACTTCTGAGAATTCAGAAAGCAGCTTAAAGCTGATCAGAGTTGTTAACACTTACAGTGATTTACCTTAAGGCAGTGTTTACAGCGTGCACAGAACTGATATTGGACACAATAGGGAACTATAACACACAATACAGCTACATGATATAATAACTAATTTCTAAAGCAAACTCATTACAGTCACAGTAAGAGCCGAAGTTTTTTGAGGACACTTAACCTGATCAAATCAAGAGCAGTTTCAAACTGATACATCTTTTGGTTTTTGGTTTGGTTTTTTAAGATAGTAGTTTGTGTCTAGCTGCCAAACTTCAAAGTTGAAATCAGACTCCAATGCTAATACTACGTTTCTTCAGTGTCTGTCAGAACTCTAGCAATCCATTCAGCAATTCTAAATAATTCATGAAAGCCAAATAAAAGATCGGAAAAAATTCCATCAGCAATCTCGAAATTCTCTTTACAAGGGCCATCACCTGACACTGAAGTACTGCAAGGGTCTATAAATTGAAAAAGGACAGAAAACTACACTATTATTCATTAGCCAAGAGCAAAAAGAAAACAGTCTAAAGTGGCCTCTTTGAAGAGGCTGAAAAGGGCCAGAATGAAAAGTCCTATACAGTCATAAACTTTTGCCATCAGTAGTCTGCAATTACAGAGCTACTCTGATCACAAGAGACTTGCAGCAGCAGTTGAAACAGAGTATTTCTAAACATTACTTAGAAGTTAGCGAATACAAATGTATGAATTGACAGAACTCAAAAAGCCTTAGAAGGCTAGAACAAACAGCTTCAAAGGAAATAAGCTCTTCTAGCAATTGGCTAAAGTATTAAAAAAATAAGCAAGATCCTTGTAGTTGATTGGGAAGAAGGGGATTGAATCCCAAGTTTTCAATACCCTTAAGACTTCTGTACAGAAAACTAATTATCACTAGACAGTATTTTAAGTAATGATTTTAAAATTCAAAATAAATTAATCAGTGAGGCTTTCCAGTACTGTCAATCATTTCAGAGTTGCTTTTGAACTTTTATTTAAATATTTGATACTTTATCCAGAAGATCAGTTACACAACTAAACCAAATACTCCTCTAAAGGAAATCATAGCATGTAACCAATCTAACCTACTTTTTATTAGAAATCCAAAGTATACATAGGCTTATTTATCTGGCAACTGCCTTTCAACAAATACCTGCCAAAACCCTGTCACACGTAGATCCTAGAATCTTAAGCAAAGGCAAATGTAGTTTTGGCAAATGTAACTGACACTAGGATAGTGGGGGATTTTTTTTGCAAATAAAACAAACAAAAAACCCCAACCGCCCACACTCGCATTATCTAAAGACAAAATCTTCACTCACTTGAGAACTTTGTTCCAGCTCATAGTCTTGAATTCAAAATTTGAGAAGGAATTGAATGGCTATTCCTGCAGTTTCTCATTTGATGCGTATATCCACGAAAGAACAATCTAACACATCTTTGCTTTACAGTTGCTTGCCAAGCACACTCAGATGTAGGAATACAAGTACAATCAGTATCTGTGTGTAATCCTCCTTCTCAAACTAGATGAAAACAAAATGAATGCTGCTGAACTCATGCAGTAAGAGATTTCTTTTTTAAAAGGGAATTTTTTTCCAGGAATACCAGTACCTGTTAATTTCACAAGTGCTACCTTCAACAACTTTAGCCATGTAAACGCATGTGCAATTCTGACTACTACAATTTTTAAAATAGACTTTAATTTTGAAAAACCCAGTTTCAACAGTTAACTCTGTTTTCCATTTGGATGTGATTTTTCACTTTGAGTCTTATTTCTGGTCGTGAAATAACATTCTCCTGCTTGTGTACAAAGTACACTGAAATGCAAAATTTACAGCTGCCTTGCTCAGACACCTTCCCCTACTACTGTTGCTAATACAGACATGCCTACAAATAAACATAGGAAGAGGTTTGAGGATAGGAGGGGAAGTGCACGTGGAGGAGAACACATTCAGTATTGTATCTCTGAGGCATATATTCACAAAATGAGAATCAAAACTCCACTATGAAGCTCAAAGAGAAAAACTTTAATACTCTGCAAATGCCATTAGAGATGTTACGTTTTTACAGCCAGTAAGCTTTATTATAGAGTAATTTCAGACATATTCCCAGTCATTTTAATTAAAAAAAACAACTCTAATCTTTCAAAGTGACATGAGAATCACCATCTAGACTATGTAATACACCAACATCTAAATAAACCAGATGCTCCTAAAATAGAACATTGACACGAATTCTTTGGGTGAAATGACCCCACCTAACATTCTGAACTGACTGTGGCACTTCTGCTCAAATTTACAAACAGGTGACACCACAGTACAATAGAATTTCTACCCAAAATAGCACGTTTCACGAGTATCCAGATTTCATAAACTCTCAAATACAGTACTCTAAATATAAACATTTCTTGACCAAATTAGCTCTCAGAAACACTGTAAATGCTATTCTTTCTCATGCTATTTTTTCCTAGTCTCAAGAACCGGCTTCAGAGTCTCAATTCATGTCAGTTCCCAATTTTGTCATGCTTATCCCTCCATGATGTTTTTCCACACTATCCCTAAGTCAAAGGCGGAGCATTAACGGCCTTTTAGAAGGAGGCAAAGTAGCTGAAGATTTGCCTGAAAGGTACAGTCTTGTCAAACACTAGTAGGGTTGTATCTATGTCATTGTACTCCACTTGGCTTGATAAATTCTAGGTAAGCATCCTTCAAAACACTACTTGTATTAGTACACTTAAAGATTTAAAGAGCAAACAACGGAGAGAAGTTAGGAGATCCAACACAGGAATTCTGCCACACAGTGAAAGTTAAGATAACACAACTATTTAATTCAACTCCACATGGAGCAAGATGGGGGAATGCCCAATACGGCGACGAGAGCTTGGCTCTATACACTACGCACGAGGCACAGGAGTCAATTTTACTCTTCATTGGCTTCCTTCCGTACAGAAACTTAGGAAAAAAAACCCCAAACATGCACCTAAGAAAATATAGTAAGGTTAGAGGCCATACTGTGCACGGGTCCCAAAAAACCCCCAAAATACAGGGAAAACGAGCGATTCAGCAGCTGGCAGGGTGGAGCAGAAGGCGGGACAATGACCTAATAGGTCTTTTCTATCTTTAGTTTCGCGAGGCTCAGTGGACAAGCGGCGCCGGGATGCCCCGCTCTGCCTCCGCCGCTCCCGGGGGGGCACCGGGCGTTCTCCGCCCCAAGTTGTCCCGAACTCGCCGCTCCCAGCAGGTATCCCGAGGTGCCGTGGCTGGCAGACAGGGAGCCCGAGGCAGCGCTGAAAGGCAGCACCACTGCTCCGAGTCATTTCCCAGCCACACCAGGGACCCGCGCCGCCCGCCCTTACCTTGAACACTTTACCGAAAGCACCATCTCCCAGCTCCCCGATGATTTCCCAGAACTCCTCAGGGTTCAAATCCCTCTTGACGTGCTCGTATTGTTTCTTCTTCTTCTCGCCGCCCAGCTTGAAGATCTTGCGAAAGTTGAAGAAGGACATTTTGGCTCCGGCCGGGGGACGGGGCGGGCGGCGCTGCCTCCTGGTCCCGCCGGGACCTCCCGGGCCGGGCGGCGCTGCCGGGAGCGACCCCCGCGCCCAGACCTGAGTCCTGGAGCCGCTCGGGAAGCGCCGTCACCGCCGGGCGCTGCGGGCAGACAACACCCCGCGGTGCCCCGGCGGGGCCGGCGCGGGGCTCGGTGCTCCTCTCCCGGGCGGGATCGGCGCTCCTACTCGGCCGGGCCGGGCACCATCGCGGCAACAAGTGCCGGGCTCTCTCCTCGGGACGGGCGGCGGCGGAGCCCGGGGACAAGGGGGAGGGAGCGGTCACGTCCCGCCTCGCAGGACGGGGCGGATGTAGGGAGGGGAGGGCGCTGCTCCCCTGCCGACTCGCGGCCGGTTGTTCCTCACGGAGCGGCGTCCCCGGGGGCGGCGACAGCGGGAGGGAAACGACGCTGCTCGCTGCTGGCCTGTCTCTCCCGCGCTCTCGCGGCGCGGGGCCCGGGCGGCTCCGCTTCCTGCGGGGCGGCACCGGCGGCGCCTCCGCCCCCTCCGCCCCCCCCTCCCTCCGCCCCCGCCCGGCGCCTGCGCGCGCCCCCGTTCCCGCGCGCCCGGAACCGCCTCGAGCCCCTCCCGCCCCTCCGCGCCCGCTCCGACACCGCCGTCGCCGGCGCACGCGCGAAGGCGCGCGACCCCTATTCCCCCCCCTCGCACCGGCGTGCTCTGGCGCGTGCGCACGCGCCACACCGGCAGCACGCGCACACCACCCCGCCAACGGTTCGTCTCCGGCAAAGGCGGAGGGAGGGGGTGGGGCTTTCCCTGACCACGTGACGCGGCTGTGGCGGCGCCAGCCAATAGGAACGCGCGGAGGCTTCCGGCGGGTAAGTCGGTGTCGGGCACAAGATGGAGGGGTCGCCCCCTCGGCCCCCCCCGGCCCTCAGGGCAGAGGGGTGGTGCTGGGGCGGGGGCGAGCGCTCGTCCCTCCCTCCTGTTTTTGCTTGTGGGAGGGGGAAGTCGCTTTTCCCTTTTGTCCTCGGTGTGCTGTTACGGTAGGGACGTGGGGCAAGAGCACCCTTTATCCTGTCTTTTAGCTGCTCATCCCGAAGGACGCCCCGCGGCTCTCTCGTTGCTGCTCCGCAGTCCCGGACAGCGAGGGTCTCCCCAACCCTGTGGCAGAGGATGACGTTCCCTAGTTAGGGCGAAAGCCTCCCCTCAGGGCTGAGTGGGTACCCCGGGTTCCTCCTGGCAGCGCAGGCAGAGCCCCCCCAGCATCGCCCCTGAAGGGGCTGTGAAACCCCCCACAAAGAGGTGTGCCAGGAGCGCTGCGATGGCGGGTGGTGCTTCCTGGGGTTTTGGGCTTTGACGTGGCTCTCAGAGGAAGGTGTTGACAGCAAAAACGCCACGTTGGAAGACTTTATTTTGTTTGTGGGCCAGTGTTCCTAGACCTGCTCCTGGCTTGTCACGGCATTCGGTCATAGCTGGGTGTGATGTTCATGTGCTGCGCGTTTGGTAGCTTTGGTATCTTATTTAATCACTGGGACAGGCTTGAATTTCCTTATCTTGCAACCTTCTCTTCCCACAAGTGATTCCTTCATCACCCTGAAGTACGGTTGTGTTTTAATAGTTGTGTGTATGCCACCAAGTGTGTGGTGTTTCTTCACTTGGAAGCACGAGGCGTTCCCGTTGCCTGGATAAAGGGCAATTAGCAGGCATGGAGAAAGGTTTGGGCTGTGACAGGAAGTCGATCCAGCAGTTGAGGCGATGCTGAGAGACCTGAGAAGGATCTGATAATGAGACAAACACCCAGGGAAAATCGTGTAATGCCTTGTCCTCGTATGAACCTGAGTGCCTGTAGTTGCCATTAATTTAAGCTGCATGATGAGCTTTTAAAGATCCAACCTCTGGTGTGTATCACTCCTCAGACCATTTTATTAGCATGACAGTAGTTTGCTATCTATGGAGGATAGTCCATGTATAAACTTGATGATAATAATGAGGCATTGAGATGCACCCGTGCTGGGGTTCATATTGCAACCTTTATGGTCTCCTTGAAAGAATCACTTCTTAGGAGTAGAAAGTCCTGGGCTGAGTCAAGAAAGGGATTTCAGCAAAGGAGTTTTCTAATAGTACAGATTTTTGCAGTAGTGAATATTAGAAGATTCAGAAGGAACAAAGGGCATAGAAATAGCCTGGACCTGAACTTTGCATTGCGGGTTAACAATGTTTTTAGCTGAAACCTGCTGGGGCAGAAGCCTTTTAAGGATATGTTGGTGATGTATGTTGAGTAATAAGTGGTGCTAATAGTATTTATAATGTACTGGAACACCCTGTGCCAGGCACTGTTCTGCCCCAGAACACGGGGATGGCCCCTGACACCGAGAGTTTATGAATCAAACAACAGTGTTGTGTTATGAGTCCATTTCTTTAAACTGTATAAAGACAGTTTCAAGGGTAATACCACCCCATGACCAGAGAGCCTTTCAAGTGCTTTTGCTGACCTTATTTGTTGTAATAATCAACGTTTGTTTTTCAGAAGTTATATTGGGCTTTGTGGTTCCTTTGTACTGACAGCTTGGCCACAGAATGTAAAACTGTTGAGGAGGATGCTAAAGCCAAAACTTTATTTTTTTGAGGGCAATAACAAGAAACAACTGCAATCCAAACTTTTGTTTTCTCTTCTGTGATCTGGCTGGCTGGCTCCACCTATTAACTTCATTTGCAAGTTTCATGGAGACAGTTTGGATTAAATACAATAATAAAGAGTGATTGATAATATTTCTTCAGTGTTACCAACAGCAATTTAGCTTCTGAAACCTAAATTTTTAAAGTTCAATTTCTTTTTCTCTATATAATCTCTTTTTTTGCCCTTTCAGGGGGGATCATAACTTTGTTTTGGATGCTAAAATACAGTGATGGCTTTAATGATAATTTTAATTAGTACTTTTAATTGAATATTTTGTTTTTCTCTTTCTTTCTCTTGGATAAAAAGTGCTTTGGGACTAATTTCCGTAAGTTTGTTTAAACTGACTGATTGGTAGAGGATGGGGGGGGGGGAAAGGAATCCAAAGCCATTGCATGAATTTCTTGTCTTTAGGTAGGATTATCTTTTCTTCAGCCTCAGGGTTAGTGTCATAGGGCAGCAGGGAGGGGTGTGTGTATGGGTGAATGTCAGAGTTTGTAATAACTGGAAATAAATGCAAAACTAAAAGAAAATTTCGTGAGCCGTATGTGAAGAAGTGTAGCTGAGCTGGCAGCTGTGGGATGGGATAGCAGGGCCTGGTTCTTTCTCAGCTCTCTCGATAAATGAATGTTGGACTGTCAGTAGTTCACACACAGCATCTCTGCAATGTGTCATTTTGCTGTGAACTTGTGTGTGATAAGAGTTTCACTCTGAGCAGAACAGAGACAATAGTGTCATCCTGCCAATGACTAAATGTTAGTAGGTACTGCAAATGTGTTGCTTTAGACTTTTATAAAGTATTCCTGTTCCAGGGAGCTTTTAATTCTTATAACATTAAAAATATAAAATGAAGGGCTGGCACAAGAAAGGAGTGATAAAGTTTTGCTTTTAACTTTTTTTTTTTTTTTTTTTTTGCTTACACTTTAACAATTCAAAATAAAACCAGTATATCTGAAACAGAGAACTGTGGCTCAGTCTGGTTTTTTCCCTTATTCTTTCTTTCTGGAGTTACAGCTTGCCACTCAATCCTAAAAATAAACTCTCTAAGGTGAAGGTTAAGTGCTAGTAGCAAATCCTTCCCAATTTGCTTTGACTTCCTGGTATGGAGGAGGCTGTATGAAGCCTGGGTTTTTGTGTGTGTGGTTTTTTTGTTCCTGATAGCAGGAGTTTTTAGCAACTGTAAATGTTTCCAGATGGTAAGGATAAAAAGGTAAAAGTGAGTTATATTAAAATTTCTCCGTCAGAAATTTAAAGCAATGCTTTTTGGAAATTCAGTGCTTCCTTTAAATATCACAGGAAGATGTTAAAGTGAAGATGTTAAAGAACTATCTTAGTTGTGCATCAAATATATTGGCTTAAGAATAGCTGTAACACTTTATGGCAATCTTTTTCATCTCTTTGTGATTTAGAGGTCTCCTTTATACTTTCTGCTGTTTGATGTCACCATCCTTTCCCATTGCCTCAATCACACTTGCCACTGTTCCTAACTCCCTGTTTAAGTTCCACTTCTGTTTCATTTAAACTGTTCCAGTTTCTCTTAATTGAAAGTAAACACTTCAGAAATTTAATTTGAAACGTGTTCTTCACAGCATATATTGCCCTTTCACTGCAGGCCTGCATCCTGTCTTCAGTTCTTTCAGAATATTTAATGATATATTTTTGTATTGTCTTGACTTTCTGTCCGTCCGTGCTTTCACTGATCTCCAGCCTTCCGAGTTCATTGAACTGCTGTAAGGTCACAGGTGGCTTGTTCGTGGTTAAATCTGAAGTGTAATTCTTATTTTATCCGTCTTAATCTGTCTGTCACCTTTGGCACTCAACACTGGCCTTTCTGTTTTCTTTAATTGATGTATGTAGTGCTTTTATTGGTATTTTCCAGCTGCGTGGTGTCATTTTCTCGTAGGCTCTACCATTTCTCTTCTGATCTGTTCCCAAAGTTAAAGTTTGTGCTGTATTGGATCATTTCAGTTCTAAGCACCACTGCAACTTCTAGATCACTATAGTTAACCCACTACCTTCCTTTTTAACCTCCTTTTTGCATACTTGGTTTTGCCAAGACCCCACGTATGCAGCCTCTGTATTTGAAGTTATTTCCAGATGCTGCCTTGCTTCCCTCTGAGTCTGACTTCTTTTTCCTGGGATTTCAGGATTTTATGGAATTAAGGTCTGATACTTTGCCTTGTACCACCACAGCATTAGTAACTTTCCTCGTTCCTTCTGGCTTTATGAGAAAGTTTTGGTGACTCTCCCATACCTGACCTTTATCTCCCTTCTCTCATTCGTCATGAGTCATTTTTCCTTTCCATATTCTGAATGTGTTGGTTTCTCATAGCAGCACCTCAATTCAGTGGATTTTAAATACCGATGTTTTCAGTCGCTTTCAACCTTGTACATTAACCTTAAAGATACTATTTTTCTTCCCTCTATGATATTTCCATCCTCTTTGTGTACATGGCAAATTTTTGACTTTTTGTCTTTTTTCTGTGACCCCGCTGCACTTTCTGTTTCATACCTGACTCCTTTGTCCTGATGCCCTACTTTATGGTGGTAAGTATAGAGGAGCTAGTAGTATCATCAATTAATAAACCATGTTTATGACAAGGTGAAGAAGGAAATAGAAAAGAGGGCTGAAAGAGATTTTTATTTCTCTGTGATGTAAGAGGTTGGCCTCTGGCTATGTGTTTTCCTTTGAGGAGCATCAACTTGTTATCCATTTTCTGGAAGCCTTGAGAGGGGGGACTGTTGTGTATAGAATCATTAAGGTTGGAAAAGACTTTTGGGATCATAGAGTCCAACCTTGGACCGAACACCCACCATGTCAATTAAACCATACCACTCTAAGTGCCAC